AAAATCACAGCATGCCATGAAAAGCCTCTCTACCTTTATATCTCTTGTCGAGAGGCCGATTGGCTTTGTTGCCCACCCTTACAAGAAGTAGGCTATGACACTCTCCATCCACTTCATGTCATTTCTGCCTCAGCATAATAAATCTGTTGGTTAACTGTGGTGTTTGTACGATTCCCCCACACATCTTTAATGAAGCTCTCGAGATACCTCTACTTTTAGACGAGTAAGTACATATAATGTAGATATTTATTCCATACTACTTTAGATAAGCTAATACTAACTCAATACTAACTCAATACTAAACCAACTCAATTAGAGTATAAATATACGACGAAGATTGAGAAAGGACTTCCTATGACTTCCATGAGATACATGAAGGATTCGCACAGAACTATATCAGAACTAGAAACGGCTCAGACTCGCACCCCAGAACCACAACTCGAACCTCTGATCAATAAAACCGACATCAGCCTGAATGATGATTTGTCTCTCGTTGAGTATATTTGACTGAGAGGTCTCTATCCTCCCCTGGGGCACAACAAAATACTATCTATTTAGTTAATGTTATCTTAATTTGGTTGTTTACTGATCTTTATTGGGAAAAATTATGTGCTATCTATTATGAAAATGAAGATAGGATTGAATAGGGTTGGGTTGAGTTTTGGATTGGGGTTGCTTTGGTTGGAGTTGTTGGTTGGTGTGAAGGGAGCGGATGCTGGTGCAGGTGGAAGTTTTGGTCGGGTTTGGCCGAATGGGGAGTTCATGCAGAAAATAACTCGGTTGTCTGCGGAGTTAGATAGAAATGAGTTAGATAGAGATATGAGTGGATTAGGTAGAGATCTGGGTGGGCTGGCTATGGGTAGATTAGGTAGAGATCCGAATGGGTTGGATAGAAATGAGTTAGCTATGGGTGGATTGGGTAGAGATATGAGTGTATTAAGTAGAGATATGATTGAGTTGGCTATGAGTGTATTAGATAGAGATATGAATGAGTTGGGTATGGGTGGATTCGATGGAAATATGATTAAGTTGGCTATGAGTGTATTAGATAGAGATCCGAATGAGTTGGGTATGGGTGGATTCGATGGAAATATGAATGGGCTAGCTATGGGTGAATTGGGTAGAGATCCGAATGTGTTCGATTTAAGTGGGTTAAATATGAATGAGTTAGGTTTAAGTGGATTGGATGGATTAGGTAGAAATATGGGCGGATTGGATGGATTGGATATGAGTGGAGATAGATGTGGAGATGTGGGGTTGGGGGGTGTGGATTTGGATGAAGATACGAGATTACGGAGGATGCTTGAACATATTGTTAGTCAAATACTGGTGGTGCCTTCTTATTTGCCGGAGAAGAAGTCGTGGAGTAACTCGAATAATTGGGTGATAAAGAGGAGTCTGAAAGAGAGTAAGAAGTATCACATAAGCACTGGCGATCCTATGCTGCAGTTTAGATGGGTGAGACTGTCTAGAAAAGACTTGGTGAAATGGCAGAAAGCATTACTGGATAATGTGTCGGAGGTTTGGGTGAATAAGTTGCATATTTACTACTTGTTGCTTCAGGCCAATGTGGAAGAGTATGCTTTGTTATTGGCTTTGATAAAAGTGCTAAATACTCGACGTCTTGTTCTTCATGATTGGCTTAAACAGGGGGAACTTAAGCAAGGATTGAATATTGATACACACTTGGCTAGGTTTAAGTTGGCTATAAATCAGGTTGGCCGGGCGGATAAGCCTTGTCCTGGAATGAAGCTCTGGGTTTACTTTAGGAATGTCCTGCTGGTGGAACATGGGAGATTGTTGCGTGAGTTTAAACAGGTTCCTTCTGTGTTGTTTCAGTTGATGTACTTTCATCTGGATGTAGTGGAAGCTCAGTTGGCTAGGTTTGAAATGGAAACGTCGATTTTTGGTGGAAGTAAGATCAAGATGGCCTTATCGACATTTTCTGTTTTGATGGCGGATGAAACTATCACTAAGCAGTTTGTCACTTATCTAAATGAGATCCCGGGAGCGAATATTTCTATAAAGATTAATCTGCCGAGTGTGCTGGATGGGGTTGGTCTAGAGCAGATTGTGAAATTGGTTCTACTAAACCCAATGCTAACCCAATGAATTGTGCTGGCCACGGGGATTCGGTAATAGATAAATTGGGGATGATAGTTTCAAAACTGCCTTATAAGAGAGTGTATCTCTCAACTGATTTGAAATCATCTACTTACATTACACGGGATGAAATGGATATAGTTATTCGTTTCCTTGATGTTCTTTATGCTAATGCCAAAACGGCTGTTTTGGCTCTGGATGGAATGACTGGTGTGGCAAAGGATAGTGATAAGATTGTGGATTGGACGAAGACAACTAAGTGTAGCTTTGGTAATTTGACTCTTTCCAATATATCTGATGAGTTTGCTTTGAAGTTTATTAGTGTTCTAGATCCTATTATTCCCTTAGTAATCACCCAGTGTGTTTTTAAGGATGAGAGCGATGCTATCCGAAAGACTCTAGAACTCATAGAGGCGACCCAAAAGAAGAATATTATAATTGCTTCTATGCCTGTACAGCACTTGCTAGGACTTAACAACACAACTATTACGTCGGTAACTCGTTTTGCTAGGCGGCTGTGGACGTATACTACTCCACGGTTTAAGCTGTCGTTGTATTCGTTTCATTATAACTTAATCGAGTTTGCTAATCTTTCTATCTGGGCCAACAATCCGTTTCCAAACCTAGCGCTTATTAATGAAGCAATAGCGTTTGATGAGTTTAATCGGCCTCTTCCGGCTTCAGCTAGTCCTAACCTCAACCGCATGTTCTGCTTCAAAACAATCCGACATTCGACCGCTTATACTGCTAGCCAAACCGATTACTATATGCAGAAGATGCTTAAGTCCATTCGATCAACTATGGAGGAAGAGCCAAGTTATCAAATCTACCATAATCTAACTAGTATCGAAATATGGCTTTGCTACAATAATACTAAAGGTGTGGTTGGCCTAGTTTTAACTATTATTCAATTTATCACCCAAATCTATCCTACAATTACCCATATTACTATTGACAATGCCGCAGTCACCAATCACACTGCTCAGGTGCTTGAGAGAGAACTAGATATACAATGGAACTGCCAGAAAACCCGTAAAGACCCATCTAATTTACCCAAAATCAAAATTTCCCTCCACAACAAAACATGCAATGCATACTTCTCCTACCAAATCAATCACCACTATACAAACCAGCATGTCGTTGAATCTATTGTTGAGATCACTCCTATCCCCAATTACAGACTATTTCCACCTACTAATTAACAAAACACCAAAAGTATCTCCAGACCAGACCCATCCGCAGTAGTACTAGCACTACAGCCATACATTGACCAGTCCCAGCTAAACTTTCGGCCAAAGAACTTGATTTGGCATTAAGTCGGGTTAATTCAGGACAAAGAGATAGGAAGGAGGTAATATTAAGGTTACAATCCAGCTACAAACAATAAACGTGTCCTTTCAACAACTGTCAGACTTGATTTGCTTATATCTGGGTTAGTATTAAGATTTTGTTGGGTTGAGTTATGTTGGGGTGGGTTGTGCTGGAATGGAATGGGTTGGGTTGAGTTGAGTTGAGTTGTGGTTTGAAAGTGTTATCAGATAGGAAATAAGATTTTGAGAAGCGAGTCCTAACTTCTTAGGGTTTTAGACATTCTTCAATGCAATATTCTTATCAATTTCTGACTGTATTTATAATAGTCCAGAATTGTAATCTTAACATTCTAAGATTTCTATCTGCCATATCTATTCTTTCAAAACAATCAATAAGTAATAAAACTCTCAATCCCAGTAGATAAGCAGCCAATCCAAAGTAGAGTTTAGTAAAAGTCCTACACTAACCCATTCTATTAACATCACCTAAACCAGCCAAATCCACCAGTATAAATATAACTAGACTATTCCGCATAGATGTAAATCCAGCCCAAATAAAATGACCAACAATATCCATACCCTCTTTATAGCAGATAACTCTACTACTTCTAACTCACCACCATATTGCTACCTAAATACTAACTAGATAAGATCAACTAGATAACATCAACTCAATACTAACTAGATACTACCTAGATACTCAATACCAAACTAACTCAATACTCAATACTACTTATCCAATACTTAACTCAATACTAAATACTAACTCAATACCAACCCAAACCAACTAGATAACATTAAACCAACTAGATAGCACCAACCCAACTAGATAGCACCAACCCAAACTAACTCAACTAAACCAAACTAACTAATACTAACTAAATATAAGATTAACCTATTTATACCTTTACTTAAACCATTATTGACCTACTTACTTAGTCTTACCAAAGATATTAGCCTCTTTACCAAGATGACGTAGTTTTCCTATTCTTTGGGCCGTATCAGTAGACATCTCGCGAATTCTTTCATAGACTTCAGCCGAATGATACTGCAATCCCGTTCTCGGACAGCGATAATGAGCAGCCAAACCGGTTAAATCACAAAGTTCAGGCGTAGGCCGATTAGATACGCGAGTAAACAAAGAGACAAATAAAGGAGACTCCACTAACAAACGATTATAAACCTGTTTTAACGTCTTACTCTTAGGCCGAGCACTAACTTTCATTCCTTTTTTGCACTTCTAGCTCAACATTCTTATTTATCCGGGGAATCTTCACTTGAGCTAATTCCAACAGTTTAGATCCTTTTACTTGACAACCCAATCTAGAAGTCAAAGTTAAGCCTTTAGCACTATCCAATAAATCTTCTTCTCTTTCCGTTAAAGATCCTTTTGTTCTTTCATAACTACTTCTATCCATAACTACATGACAAGTAGTACAGGCTAAAGATCCTTCACAAGCCCCTTTCAAAGGCACCCCATACTTATGAGCCGTCTCCAATAAACTAACTCCCCTCTCAACCAGAACTGGCACAATACTACCTTCAACCGCAAAGAACATCCGGACTGGATCCATAAAAAATACTCGATCTCTCCCATATCTCACCATCACTCCCTCCCAACTCATCTTAGTACATCTCAACTTAACTTAACTTAGCTTAGCACAATGCTCAACTTAGTACTACTTGCTCAACTTAGTACTACTCACTCAATGCTACTCAACTCAACTCAACTCAATACTTAACTCAACATTACTAAACTCAATGCTAACTCAATACTTAACTCTACAGAACTTAATACTAACTCTACTCAATACTAACTCAACTTAGCTTAATACTACTCACTCAATTCAACCCAATACTTAACTCTACTCAGCTTAATACTTAACTCAATACTACTAACCCAATACTTAACTCAACCCAATACCAATCCAATACTAAACACAATACTAACCTATTTATTGATAAGCAAAGAGACTGTACAGTAAACTACTAAGACTAGACCAGCCAAAGTATTAGCCAACTTAATAAGTGTTATATCAAAATCTGCAAAGTATGCACAAAAAGGCTACAATTAGCTAGAAAGACTAACCAGTCTATCCCTTCTAAACTATCAAAATACACAACTTACATTTAAAAGGAGGATTAGAACAACTCCTAAATAAACAATCAACAAACTATAAACTAGATATCTACGAAGACTACAAACAATCTCCATTCTTTTATTCTTTTATTTTTTAGGCCTTGTAATGATTATCCCCACTAAAGAGATTAAGAAAGTTCATGAATTCATTTTCAGAAACGGCTGTATTGTGGTAGAAGATAAACCAACTTTTGATTTTCATCCTTTAATTGATGTAACAAATCATAAAGTTATGAAGATAGTTAAGAGTATGAACTCAAAAGGATTATTTGATAGGCAGTTTATTTGGAAGCATGCTTATTATACACTTAATGATACGGGCGTAGAATGGTTGCGTAAGAAGTTGTATCTGGGGATAGATGAGTACCCGGCCACCCACACTCCAGTACCTGCGGCTGAGAAAGAGGTAGTGGCTGAGGCTGGTGCTCCCCACTTTAACTAATAAAGGCTGGCTAGTTTATTGTGTTATTTTAGATAAGATATAGTTATTGGATTTTGATTTAGTTGGGTTTTGATTTTGAGTTAGTTGGTTTTGAGTTAGATTTAGTTGGTGTAAGTAGATAGTGTTTAGTTGGTTTTGATTTTGGTTTTGAGTTAGATAAGATAGTGATTTGGTTGGTTTTTGATTTGGTTGGTTTTTGATTTTGGTTCAGATAAGATAGTGTTTAGTTGGTATAAGTAAGTAGTTGAGTACCAAGTAGATAGTATAAGTTGAGTTAGTGTAAGTAGATAGTGTAACTAGATGTAAGTATATAGTACCAAGTAGATGTAACTAGACGCACCTAAACGCAACTAGATAGTAAATAATTGGATGAGTTAAGTTTTTGATTTAGTAGATATGGTATGTTAGAGAGATAGTTGTGCTGAGTATTTACTGGGTGGGTTAGGATGATGGAGTTGAGTGGGGGCGGTAGGTGGTGTACCAGTGGTGGAGACGTGTGGTGATTGGGGTGAGGTAGTGAGTGAGAGTTAGATTGAGTTGGTGGATGCAGTGGGTGAAATGGTGGTGGAGAGGATGAATGAACTGGTTGAGATGGTGGAGGAGATGGTTTCGAGTGGTTGGTGGAATGAGGAAGGAAGTAAGAATGGCGAAGAGGAGGAAGGAAAGAGTGAAGGTGAAGAAGAGAGAGTGCTTTCTTTCTTTTTGGAGGATGGTATCTACTTGGTAGAACATATCGTCTGGAGTGCGGTTATTATCGATAACTAGGTCGCACTTTCTTCGTTTGCCGGGTAGAGAGATTTGTTGGTCGGCGGTTGATTTGGCGACTTGGAGGTCTTTTTGGGAGAGGGATATTCTATCTTCTTGGGTTTTGGGACCACAGGTAACAACTAGGACTTTATCGAAATAGTCTTCAAGATGGCATTCGTAGAGGAAAGGGACTTCGGCGAAGATAGTGCCTTGGCCTTTAAGTACGGCTAAGAAGATGCGACGGCGGAAGATAGAGATGATTTTAGGGACTAGTTGGATTTTGGTTGAGTTAGGAGATTCAGAGTTAAGATCGGCTTCAATTTGTTTAAGTAAAGCATTAGGTTGGGTTGGGTTAGTATGGCGTTTGTTATTAGATTTGGATTTGGTGGAGTTGGTTGATTTGGTGGAGTTAGTTGATTTAGTCGACTTGGTTGATTTGGTTGATTTGCTGCTCTTGGATGAGTTAGTACTGCTGTGACTATCTTTACTATCGCTGCTCTCGGATGAGTTGGTGGTGCTGTGACTATCTTTGCTATTGCTAGTGCTAGTGCTATTGTTATTGCTGTGTTTGTCTTGGCTATTCTTGTTATTGCTGGTCTTAGATAGGTTGGTGGAGATATTACTGCCGATAGTTGGATTACTGGCAAGGACTTCTTGAAGAATATCGGAGAAAGAAAGTGTTGCGAAACCTCTTTGTTGGATGTATTGAAGGAGAGTGCTTTTGCCGGTACATTTCCCGCCGGTTATGGCTATTTTCTTCATATTGGTGGATGTAGTGGGGTATTTATAGACTAAGGTTTTGATTTAAGACAAAAGTACCCAATGAAGTATCGTAAGTTTGCTGAGCTGGAATCGACTCAGTTGTATGGGATTGAGCATAAAGAAGAACTTGGGGATCGAGAAGTAATTGTTTGTGATGTTCAAACAGGTGGGATAGGACGTGGGGGTTCAAATTGGATCTCTTCAGCCGCATCTTTAACTATATCTATTTGCTGGCGGGAATTGGGAGTGGCCAATCCGGCACTAGGAACTTTGCTGGTAGTTAAACGAGTGCTAGAGAGTTATGGCGTTCGAAATTTACTAGTTAAGTGGCCAAACGATCTTTACTTAGTAGCGGAGACTGGAGAGGTCGGGTTAGGCGAGAAGATGGGACGTGGGAAGAAAATAGGTGGAGTCTTGGTGAATGTAGTTACTACGGAACGCGGTCCTTTATCTATTATTGGGTTGGGTGTGAATTTAGCTAATATGCAGCCTTTGGCTGATTTAGCACAATTTGGGTACCAGCTAGATAAGGAGGTCTTAATTGGACAAATAGTTGAAGGAGTTGAATTAGCGTTTCAAGCTGGACATGAAGAAGTTTGGGGTTGTTTCTTTCCCTGGCCTTATGTCTACTTCTTAGGCCAAAAGTGCACTATTGAATCTATTGCGGATGAGCTAGTTCTATCTGGGCCATTAGGCCATACGTTTAGCATTAGCAGCCAGTACTCATACTGTCCCGATACTAACCAAATCTATCTTAAATCCAAGCATCCTTTTAATTAGTCCTTCTCTACCTCTTATCTAGCACTAACCCAATACTAACCCAGATATTATAATAAACCCAATGAATATCTATTTACATTTAGATTTAGCACAACTCAATACTAACTCAACCCAACCCAACCTAACTCAATACAATCTAACCCAACTCAATACTAACCCAAACAGATCCCAAACAGATCCTAAACATACCACCATGTCTACTTATTTTAAAATACACCCCCCTGCAATGTGCCCCCAGATTGCTAACAGCAAGAAGACTCTTAAAAAGCGAAGAAAGAAGGCACCAGTTCTCCACATTGATTTCAAATCTAATCTAGATTTTGTCTCTCTTTTGAATTTACAAGATTTCATAAACAATACTTTAAAATCAAAACACACCGCCCGACTAGCCAACTTATCGCAAATCAAAAACCCACATTCAGTTAATGTATTTATTAGTCAGTCATCCCTACCCGAACTAGGTCCTACCCCCGCCTTTATCTCTACCCTCAAAGAAAGACCGCCCCTTGAAGAACTTCCATTCATTCTCTCCACCCAACGACTCAAGACTCAACTCACCACTATCCCCAACCTCCCAATTCTCACACCCGACCAACTCCAGCCCTTTATTCTCAAAGACCTAGATGCCATCTACTGTCCCTCCATCGAGCCCCGCCTACAGCACATGCTTTACCAAGAAAAGCTCGGCTTCTTCACCAAGTACGGCCAACTCCCCGACCTCCAAGCCAACCCCATCTTCAACATAACCCCCAAGCTAATAATCACCACCCCAACTACCACTTCACCCCAACCTACCACTCCATCCCAACCTACTACTACCACTCCTCCCCAGCCCACTACTCCTACCAACACCACCACCACCCCCTACCAAACCATTCAAGTCAATGGCCAAACGTTCATCCAGTATACTAACCCAACTGCCTATCCAATTATAGGCCTAGATTGTGAAATGATCATCACCGACCAAGGCAAAGAAGTAGGCGATATTGCCATCGTTAATGAACACCACCAAACCCTTTACCATAAGAAAGTCAAACCCCAAGGACAAGTCCTTGACTACTTAACCAAGTACAGTGGCCTCCAAGCCTCCTCTTTTATTAACCAATGCCGGTGTTTCACTTGCCGCCCGCCTAAATCCCGAGTTAAACGCCCTCGACCACCCCCCTGCACTAAATCCGTCATTACCTATTCCGAACTTCTCCAAGACCTAAGCACTATCATAGGTACCACCACCATCATTATCGGCCATGCTCTTCTTCACGATATGACCGCCCTCAAAATCTACCATACCAAATTCATTGATACGTCCTACTGCTACTTCAACAAGCACCACTACAAAAGCAAGCTCAAAGACATCGCCAGCACCTATCTCAGCCTCACTATCCAAACCGAAGCACATTCCCCCGCCACAGATGCCGATGTCTCCCTCCAAGCCCTCCAGTACCAACTTGCCCTTCTCCACCTACCATCTACTACTACCACCCCATCTACTACTACGACTACCATCCCATCTACTACTACTCAACCCAATACTACTACTACCATTCCATCTACTACTACTACCACCCAACCTACCAATACTACCAATACAACTACTACTCAACTCAATACTACCTACCAAGTCCTTACTCCAACTCCTCTCACTATTCACTCCCACCACTCCTCCAGCCCCACCCTTACTCTACCCACCGGCCTTAACTTCATCTTTGTCGCCCCCAATGCCCCATCCATAACTCTTCCTCCCAACTCCCTAGCCATCAACCTCTTTACTTCAGATCACCCCAACCACTCAAACCACCCCGATCACTCCAACCAACCCAACTACTACACCATCCACATGCACTTACCCCAACCATAAATACACTTACCAACTTACTTACTTACCTTACACTAACTCCTTCACTAAAACCCATCTTATCTAATCAGCCTAGATTAAGTTGGTTTTAGTAAACAGTTATTCCTTATCTAAATCTAAACCTCAATCTAAATCTAAATCTAAATCAAAACCTAAATCTAAATCAAAACAAACGTAACTTAAGCCAATTTATTAGTCGAGCTTCTCCACTGCAATTCTAGCATGTCCATTAGTCAGTACAATCCCTAGATCGGCCGCTCGCTTAACAATATCCACCCGTTTCTTAGCTCCAACCCCACGAGCTATCTCTCCACAGTAAACTCTATTAAGAGAAGTAAGTGCTTCTAAATCCTTTAGATTGTTGATTATAACCTTCTTAAAACCGTTAGGCAAGATATGTCTGACTAGCTTATTGCCTTTAAATCCAATACAAGGCATCTTCATTGTACCTTTAAGTCCTTTACGTACTTTGTTATCAATACCTCTTGGTCTCCTCCAATTAGGCTTAACTCGCTTAAACTGATCACTTTGGAATCGATTGAATTCTCTTCTAGTTTTCTTTACCTTTACAAATTGCACTAATGGCTTTGTAATTAGTAAGTGCTCGTTATTCATCATGGGTTAAAACAAAAAAAAGAATTTGTAGTGATAGTAGTACTTTAGATATGCTTTTAGTGGGTTTAGTTTGGATTGGATTGAGTTAGTATTTAGGTGAGTTTGGATTGAGGTGAGGTGAGGTGAGCTTGGTAGTAGATGAGATAAGTAGTAGTAGTATTTATTTAGATAAGATAAATGTAGTATTTTGATTTTGATTTATGTTGTACTTATTTAGATAAGATATAGTATTTAGTAGATATAGTATCTGGTAGATGTTATTAAATTGATGAGGTTATTAGGTGGGATTGTTTTTGGTTAGTTGGAGTTGTATCCAGTGCCGGGGCATTTCTAGTTGCTTTTTGCGGTTGATAAGGAGTCTTCTGTCCTCTTGGATATGGGTGATGGTGAAGTTGGTGGCTTGGGCTAGAGTTTGTAGATAGTTGAGGGTGAAGAAGTAGGCGTAGGTGCCTTCGCCGCGTTGGTAGAGATTTGGGGCTAGGATTTGGTGGGGTTTGAATCGGAGTTGGGTGAGGTCCATTTCGGCATAGTCTCGGAAGAGAAGTGTGCCTTGGGGTTTGAGTGATCGGTTGATATGGTGGAGGACGGTTTGGTGGTGGTCGGGATGGATGGCGGAAAGTGTGAAAATAAGAAGGACGAAGTCCATATTGGTATAGAGTTGGGGGAATGGTTGGGGGAGAGTGGCATTGTGGGTGGTGAAGTGGGTTGGTATGAAATTGGGTCGGTTTTGGATAATATTAATGGCGGCGGCGGCACAGTCAATTCCGAATAGATGGTTGGTAGTTGGGATTTGGGAAAGTGTGCTGCCGGTGCCACAACCTACTTCAAAGATGCGTTGGTTGGTGGTATTGAGCATAGGGAATTCGCTGAGGATCCAGTGTCTTTCTTTGAAGAAGGCTGTTTGGTGGTTGGTGTAGAAATGGTGCCATGGCTCGTAAGTAATGGTTGGGGGAGTAGTAGGAAGATGTGCTTCGTCATTTTTGATCTTCTGTTGGGCTTTATGAAGGGCTTCTGGGGAAAGGGAGACATCATCCCAGGCATTTTGTGAGAACTTATCATTGGGATCTAGAAGAAGACGGTTGCGCATATAGAGATTGGCTTGGCAGAAAATTTGCGATGGATAGTGCGATAGGCCTGTGTTTAGTTGTTTTAGGTGGTTTGCTTGGTTGCAATTGGTATAGATCGCGATTTAGTGCTTCTAGTAAATGTACAGGTAAAAAGCACCCGAGATATGTTTTGATTATTGATCGTAATGGTACTGTAAGTGAACAGGAGATTGAAAGATTAAGAGAGAAGTATAAAGTTGAAAAGATGGAGTTGTATAAGGAACGAGATTTTGTCACTGATCATAATGGGTTTATAGAACAAATAAGAAGATTTGTAGGTGATGTAGATCTAGAGAATAAGATAAGTAGTGTAGATCTAGAGAATAAGATAAGTGATGGGTTGGGTGGTGATGGATTGGGTGAGAAAGAGAAAAAGGAAGAGAAAGATAAAGATAAGGAAGGGATGGATTCGGATAAGGGTGACTTTGCTGAGAAGATAGTTGAATATGATCAGATTGAAGCATTTATTGCGGCTAATCCTTTACTGTTTCCGGATTTGGTGTTACTGTGCTCGGGGGTGAGTACTTATCGAGTGAGTGCACCTTACTTGTTGTATAAGGCGGAGATGTGGCAGTCGCGTTGGGGATTTTCGGAACGGACTTTAGGATGGGCGTTATGGCATTATAAGCGATGTTCTATCCGTAATGGGCGGTAGAGTGGGCTGGGAAGTAGTTGGTTGAATAAAGGACAGAAGAAGCTTTTCAATACGGGTGTTCTTAGCTGCTGATTTGGCCAGGAAACGGGTGAGAGATTCGGAGCTGCGCCAGAAGATAGGTTGGTGGTAAATAAGGTTGCACATTGTAATACTGGGTTCTGGACCGGACATATGGTAGGGAGTTGGAGATTCAATGAGAAGAGCGAATCTTTTGTAGTACTGCATGGATTGCTCAATGGTCATGAGATGGTCGAGGAAGTAGGCCTCTGAATGCTTAAGACTAAGCCGGTCGGGTTTAAGTGCGGCTTCTTCTAGGATAATTAGGCGTTTGAGAATGCCGCGGAAGTCTTCGCCGATAACTAAACGTTGGATTCTTTTGATCTTGTGTTTTTGGGTGTACTCAATCTCGCCTATTTTAAGAGTGAAACTGGAGTTGGTGATTGCCAGGGCAAGTGGGACTTTCCAGCCGTTGAGAGGATTCTTTTCTAAGTCTTCTTCAATGCTGATGATTCTTTCTTCTTTGTCGTTGCCGTTGATAGTGGTGGTGGCTATTTTGATCTTGCCGTTATTAAGATAGATTTCAATGGTAGCTTGGGAGCTGTAAAGCTTGATCAGTGACTGTTTGCCGGAGAACTCTTTTTGAATGAGGTTGGCGTAGATACAAAGCTTCTTGGCGATGAGATCAATAGCAAGGAAGGATCCGGTGGTGAAGACGAGGCCTTGTTCGTACTTGGTTTGGAGTTCGAGCTTTTCGAGTAGAGTAAGGAAGAGATTGCTTTTGAGGGGAGTTTTGACTAGGAGTTTAAGAAGGGTAGCGATATCTTCCTCTTGGGAAACGAGAGAGGCTAGGTCTTCGGTGGGAATTAGTTCATTAAGGGTAATGATGTCTTTGCCGAGTACGATTTGCTTTTTGATGATGTTGTGCCAGTAGGAGGCTTGGTTGAAATCAGGATGGCTGGTGAATTGGGTAAGAATAGCTTTGAGGGCGGGTAAGTTAGTTCTGCCTTTTTGAATCTCTTTGTTAATATGGTTGATAAGGAAGACATCGAGGTCTTTGCTGAAAAGATGTGACTCAGTTTTGGCTTGGTCGATTTTGAATGCTCTTATGATTACTTGGCGGACTTGTGGGATTTCGCGGAAATGGTTGAGCATCTCTATCTCTTCTTCTAAGTTGGCTGTCTTTTTAGAGAGTCGGAACTGGAGGTGTTTTTGATTGATTGTTTGCCAAAGGACTTGTTTAATGTGCATGGTTAGCCAAGGGAAATAAACGGTGAGAATAAGGGCTCTTTCGATCGCATCTTTATCGGTAGGAAGAACAGCAAAGACACTTTGAATGAATCTCTCTAAGTTCCAGCCGTGCTTGATTATAACGGCTTGCTCGGTGGACTTCTCGGTTGTATCTTCATAGATCTCAGCAATGCACTTGACTAGGCGTTTGAAGACTTCTATTTCGCGGCATAGAAGAGCAAAGTACTCGCTGGCACAAAGATCGTTTAGTCTGTCTTTAGAGATATGGCCTAGACTTTCCCGGCAAATAATGACGGACTCGGCATACTCTTTGTCAATGATAAAGGCGACTTGGAAGAAGAACTTGGCCAGTGGCTCGGCTTTTTGGAAGATAATAAGTGACTTAAGAATGAACTCGGCGCCGACTGGACTGAATTTCGCCATGTCCTTGATGATCTTCTCCGTATACTCTGTTTCATCCGGATGGTAAGTTTCTGATAGTAGCTCGGATAGTTCTTTGGTGGTTAGCTTCCCTTTCTTGTGCAGGGCAAAGACGGGTTCGCGGGCATGATAGATAACCCGATGTGATTTACCAACTCGGATGATTTTCTGTAAAGTTTCCTTATCTTTGATCTTACTCGCCTCAATGCTAATGAAATCTAGTACTGAGATCCCGGGTAAGTAAAAGATCGTCCCATCAAATTCCAAGTCTGTCTTTGCCAGCCAATCAACCAGTAAGGCTTTCTTCGTCTCTTCAGCCTCTGCAAACACGTACCCAAGGAAGAAGAACGGACTAAGCTCTTTCTTGTGGCTTTCGGGCTGCCGCAAGAGTAGTGAACTACTCGGATGGTACACGCCCAGGGAATTGGCTAGCGCAAAGGCGCACAAGTCACAACGCACATTATCTAAACTCTTCTTGCGCAAGGTATACTCCTGGGCCAACGAGACTAACTCCCGAGAAGGTGGAAACACACGGTCCACCGAAGAGTACTCCACACAAGGCACCAACTCGTGCTCTTTCAAAAGCCCACTTTTACTAACTCGATCCAACCACCTATCTCGAAACTGAACCATAAAGAGTCCCAACTCAAAGATCTGCAACAAGATTCCCTGGTCTTCTTCCGTCTTCTCCTCCGCGCGAATGATCTTATGTGCTATTTTGCACAGGAGAACCACTACTCTCTCCATCTCCGAAACAATCTTCTCCCCGCCAATACTCATAAAGAGAGCATCCAACTCAGCCTCCAAAGCCAAGCCTTCTTTCGTCTTTTCTTCCTCAATACTGTTCTTGATTCCATTAAGTCGCTCAATACATCCTTCCACATCCTTAACCTCAAGTTCTTCCGAGGCCACAATGCTAGGCACAATGTACTTACGATTCAGCATACTCCTTTGTCCCTTCTTCATGTTATACCTACTTTCTAACATGTATCTATACTCGCCAATAATTCTTCAGTATCATGGCAACCATTTAAAACACCCCCTACCCTCTCTACTCCCAAGCTAACACACCCCAACATAACACCACATAACCCAACTACATCACAATCTTATCACACTACTTAACCCAACTACATCACACCACATAACGCAATCTCATCATAATCAACCCAATATAACATTAACTTAACTCAACCCAATACCAAGCCAACACAATATAACATTAGCTTAACACAAACTCAACACAAACTCAACTTAACACAATCATTTACTAAAATCGCAACAATACCTTTCATTTTCCAATTTCAAATCCAATCCAATCCAATTTCAATTTCTAATAGAGAATTCATCTAGTTTATGTTTATTTAGATTACCAGTAAATCAACAACTAACCAATAAATCAACTAATAAACCATCCAGCTGCCATCTACTTATTATCTAATTGAGATATAACTACTAAACTAACCCAATACTCAACCCAATACCAACTCAACTTAACACCAACTCAACTCAATTAAATATTAGCTCAGTAAGAATTGATCTAGTTGAGTTATACTGCGGTGTTCAGCCTTTACTCCAATTAAATGAGGCATCTTTCTTTTAGGTATTTCATCCACGCGATCAACAATCTTGTAAAGAGAAATACCAAAGTGCCGGCAGAACAAAGGAAGGTGCTGAAACATTCCAGCCTCTGTATTACCCATTAGAATAAACAGACTCTTGATCCGACCGCTATTTTCATACATCTCCATCAACTCATTATAATCCACAACACAATTAGAGATATCACTTAACAACAAAGGAACGATCTCTTTCCTAGCTACTTTTAAGCCAGCAACCAAGTCTATAACTCTAGGCAAGACCCGCTTTTTCATTTTTATGGAGAGTCGCCGACCATTAAGATTGCAGAAGCGTGATGAAATACTTCGTAAGCGCGAAGTGGAGCCAAATGTCCCAGAGATTGACGATACGTTTATTTCGGATGAGGAATCAATTGAGGACTCAGAAACCATTAATGAAACCAAATCTCAGCCCCTAAATAAGGAAGTCTCTTTTAGTCTGCGCTATATAATCTTATCTATTCTAGTTGTTGGTTATACAGTTTATATCTTAAGTGTATACCGACGGTGCTCCGGTTTAGTCACTCGTTTAGAGGAAGAAGCCTTTAGTATGCAAAGAAGAGTGGCAGAATTGGAGTCTTTATTGAAGAGTAAGTACCGCGAAGTAGATGTAGCCGACTATTTAGAAGGTGCCCGTATTATCTATGATTTAACTACACCGCCCTATCAAACTAAGAACTGGTTACTTGGCCAGCGCAGTCAAGGCTATAATGGAGAGTTGGCTATTGATAAAGTGTGCACAAAAGGTCATTGTTACTCCTTTAATGGCTCAGAAGGAAAACTAGCTATTGCCTTTAAGGACGAGAAGATTATCAAAAAGATAGGTATCATTCATCCCATCTTTGATAGTAGAAAATCAGCTATCAAAAGATTTAGTCTTGATTGTATTGTTAACAACAAGGAAAAAAGAGTAGGTGAGTTTGAGTACGAAATACCAGGTGATTCTTTCCAGCAGTTCTTGTTCCCACCTCAGGCCTGTACAGGGATTGTTTTAAGGATTAAGTCCAATCACGGCAATCCTAATTACACCTGTATATACAAGGTCTATGCATTTGAATAGAATAAATCAGTTTATTTACTCAACAGATACTCTTCGTGGTGGGGCCGTTGGTAGTGCTGTCCATTGAAACTGCCGATGGAGGTAAAGAAAGACCGATTTGGTCAAAGTAGCAGCAAAGATGGAAATACCCGAAAGATTCGGTCGGTCTAATAGGGAGGTAAAGGCACATAGACAAAGTAAAGATGTCAAAACCAGCAGAGCATCACTTTTAGGCCACCCTCGCCCTGTAACTAGCCAGATAACCAAAAGTAGTTTTATCCCAATCGGATTAGTTGATAGCAGATAAGCAAAAGCAGCATACTGGGCAATAAAAAACAAAACTTCACAAGATAGACCAATATGATAACAAAATAAATCAAGTTCACCAGACAAGAGTCTTTTATAACTCCGCCAAGGAAGACTCTTCCTTAAGTAGATAATTGAAGCACCAATCACTACTATGTATGCCGAGTAAAGCCAAACTAGTAATTGAAAAGTTAGAACAGTAATTCCATTTTGGGAATAAAGATACCAAAAAGATAAGATAGCAAAAACAACAACAAACAAAGCATACTTTTGTTCTAAAGTCCGTTCATGTAGTATACCTTTGGTAAAGAGAAAGAAGCTGCATAAATTCAACAGAACCAAAAAAGTCAGCTTATCAGTACCAGACTGTCTACCTGAATATTCAGTAAAAGCCAACCAAAGGGCAGCTAAAGACAGAATTCCGGCCGCCAGTAAGAAGAAAGGTGTTTGAGGCCACATTGTTTGTATTGGAGTGAAGCCGAAAAAAACGTCCTGACAGGGACTCGAACCCAGAACCTCCTGATTAGAAGTCAGATGCGCTGCCTATTGCGCCACCAGGACCTAGTTACAATTGCTCCAGAAACATACACTAAGTACTAATCTAATAAGATAGCCGCCCCAGAAGCACTGATAATGAAGTAAAGCGATCTGATGTACATATCTTGTTTATTTTTGGCTTTTATCTAGGAATGACTCAATTCAATGACTCTACGAAGAAACAAAAGCCTGTAGTCCAAGTTGGCTATGATGAAACCAGAGATTGTGGTGTATGTACTAACAATGTAGCCGAATGGGAAACTCCCTGCAAGCATTTATACTGTGATGATTGCGTCGAGGCTTTTCTTCCCAAAAATTGTGCCGTCTGTCTTATGTGCGATACTAAACTATATGGAGGTCCAGCCGTCTTTCCCTACTCACCGCATACTCTCTAACTAGTCGTTCGAGTTAAGTCACGTGACCAGATAGGACTCTAACAATATTAAATCGTGATATTAACTTTAAGATAATTAAGATAAACTTGTATTAACTTAACCCAATATTAACATACTTTAATGATATCTAGATGGTACTAAGATGTGGTAGTGGTGTGGTATTAAGAGATGGTAGTGATGTGGTATTGATGTGGTAGTGAGTTAGTGAGATAGCAATGAGATGGTAGTGAGATGGTATTGTTGTGGTAGTGAGAGATAGCAATAAGATGGTAGTGATGCGGTAATGAGATGCTATCTAGATAGTATTAAGGTAGTAATGAGATAGTATCTAGATGGTAATGAGATAGTATCTAGATGGTAGTGAGTTAGTGTTAAGATGGTAGTGAGATAGTAGTGAGATAGCAATGAGATAGTAATACGATGGTAGTATTAAGATGGTGTTAAGTTGGGTTTAGTTAAGATTGGGCTGAAGGGATGGGCAGGGAAGTAGACTCTATGGGAGTGGATAGATTAGTGGAAGTATACGGAGTGTCTTTTCTAAGCAGAACAATAAACCTTTCAATAGCTACACTGACAGTGATCATATAAATAATGATTAGATAGAGAGAAGGGTATAAGAAAATATCAAAACCACCATCAAAACCAATTGATATCAAAAAGAAAAGCACAGAAAGCATCAAATTAACCGGAGTCATCCAAACAAACGAGTCCGATATAAAGATAAAATGGTTTAACGTTGAAATGTAAAGACATAATGAAAAGACTCGACTAACCAAGGAATGTCCAGCTAAAGTCCCAGTTTGACTAATAATATCTACGGGACCAAAAGACTGATAAACAATCAGGAATGAAAAACCACCATACAAACACCCAGATAAAACACTCTCTTTCACCGATTGTACCGTACTTACTCGTCTAAAAAGTCCTATCTCCACAGATAAGGGCGAAGTAATCAATGAGTTATAAAAGATCAAAAACAACGAAGAAGAAGCTATCGATCCCGAAGAACCAACAGAAATACCATAAAGACACTGGCAAACCGCACCAGCCACACACTTAAAGATATAGAAGAAGTAAACAGCTTTCAATCTTTCCAGACAAATAGTCCCATGATGAACCACTAACTTCGCCATCGCAAAGAAAGAAGGAATAATTACATCAGCCACAAAAGCGGCTTTCTTTCCTTCTTTACCCAGAATACATACACCTATATCGGCCTCTTCAATCATTCCTACATCATTTTCACCATCACCAACGGACAAAACAATACTTCCTTCTTTACGCAGCAAATGCACAATCTCTTTCTTATCATCTGGAGTAGCCCGATAAACTATCACTCCTGATTCTTCCTTAAGCGTATGATTACCCTGAGCAATCTCTTCCTGTAGTAAGTCAATAGCCATTCGCCCGGAAAGGACTTTAGAGCCCGCATGACTTATCCGGGTAGAAGAGGCACAAGAAAGAGCACTTTCTTTCCGATCACCAGTTATCATCCAGATTTTGATGTTCTTCTGTTTGATATGCTGAATTGCTACGTTAGCATTAGCTTGAATCATATCTTCAATATAGATAGTGCCGATATACTCTAAACCAGCTTCTAATTCCTGAACTAAACCAATACCATCCAAAACTGGGACTAGTTTAGTGGCCGGTCGAATAGATATATCACTAAAATCTAAGTCTTTATAAATACTAATTTCCTTGGTATTTTGATTAGAATTATTGATAAGATTTTGATTTTGGTTTTGATTTGAATTACTATTAGGTGCTTCTGGTTGGAATGAGAGTATTTCGGTGGCTGATAGTTCTTTGGCAGCTACAGAGAGGACTCGGTACCGGCCATCAGTTACACTTAAAGTCTCATGCGGTACTACTTCTTCAGAACCTTTCACAAACAAGAAGCACTTATCACCCACTTGGGCAACTACTCCCATGCGCGAAAGACTTGATGAAAAAGGCATAACTGCTAAGATCTGAAACTGATAAACTTGTGACTGCCACTGCACACTCACTAAATCATCCTCTCTTCCTAGTAGAACCAACCCTAATTCTGCCAACTTACTAAGTATAGCCATCTCTTCTTGGGAGACTCCTCGGTACTCCTGGCCGACTACTTCCACCGAATGACACAAGAGCATAGCCAGTAAGTTAAGTCCGGCATATTTTTGGGTTAGTAAATCACTTATACTCATTTCCGCCAAGTAAACCAACTCCTCTCTTCCCTTCAAGTGCATCCCAATTAAGACCATTTGATTCTCTGTCAAAGTTCCAGTCTTATCAGTCAAAACATGAGTTATCAGTCCAATATCTTCAATCACTCCATAAACACTACATTCAGCAAACTTATTCTCCTTAGCCATATCCCTATCCGACTGAATGTACACCGAGTAAGCCACTCTTAAACCATCCAAAGTCACAAACAAAGATAAGGGCACCAAATTACTAAAAATAATGATATTAGCCGCAAAGTTCCTAATAGCAATCCAAGGCAAAGACCTACCAGGATACAAAGACCCCAACCAATTACTTTTGATAATAAAATAACAAGATGATAGTGAAGATAAAAACAAAAC